TCCATTTCCTGTAGGTAAAGCCTTTAACATCTCTGGGCTTCAGATTCCTCGGTTTGGAAACAGTATTTGCCCTGCATGTCTAACAAGGCTATTCTTAATGATCAGAAGGTATGAATGAGGCTTACATAACACTCGATAGTTTTCTAATATAAGATTGTGCAGTATCATTTCCGTTTTAGGAAATGCTTGCACTTCAGATCTCTGCTCATTTAATAAAGAAAATTCTTAAGCATTGACATCTGACCATTGGGTACCATAGACTGTTTCCTCTTCTAGGGATCTTACAAATTACTCCAGGCTATAAGGACATAAGGTTGTATTTTTTCCATGCAACCTCATCCTTTTTTTAAAGTTAAGTGGATTAAATTCCCTAAGACCCTTGCTGTCCTTGTAATTTAATACTGTATTTCATCAAGTCTAAGATGTACTTGATTATAAGATCATCTGAGCTCTGATTTTAAGATGCACTAAAAAGCAAAAGACAATGCCAGACTATGACACAGTAATAAGATGCATCTCTATTTCATTCATTTAACAGGGATGTTAAAATGAGGAAAAAGTGTGCTTCACAGAATCAGTGAAGTACTCAGAGATCTGAATCCACTGTTCAGTAACCTTTGTGGAATACATATACTTGTTCTTTCACTTTTCTTTTTTTTTTTTTTAAGATTTTATTTATTTATTTGACAGAGAGAGATAGTGAGAGCAGGAACACAAGCAGGGGGAGCGGGAGAGGGAGAAGCAGGCTTTTTGCAGAGCAGGGAGCCCGATGCGGGGCTCGATCCCAGGACCCTGGGATGATGACCTGAGCCGAAGGCAGACGCTTAACGACTGAGCCACCCAGGCACCCCTCTTTTTTCCTTTTTTAATGGGAGAAGAGGGAAGGAAAGATGTTGCTTCTAGAATGGTAGATGACAATTTTTTGGCTTCTTTGAATAAGATAAATTTTTCTTTAGGAAAACCTTGGATTTTTCCTGGAGTTCAAGATTATACTTCTCAAAGGGCATTTCCCAAATCACCATCTTCAGCACATTCCTGGGAACTTGTTAGAAATGCAAATTATCAGGACTTATCCCAGATGTACTGAATCTGAAAGTCTTTTGCATGATTCTTATAGTGAAGCCTAAGAACCACCAACCAAGAACTGTTATATATTCCTTTGCTTCTTGGGCGCCTGGGTGGCTCAGTTGGTTGGGCGACTGCCTTCGGCTCAGGTCATGATCCTGGAGTCCCTGGATTGAGTCCCGCATCGGGCTCCCTGCTCGGCGGGGAGCCTGCTTCTCCCTCTCCCACTCCCCCCTGCTTGTGTTCCCTCTCTCGCTGTGTCTTT